TTTGGAGAGGTTTTTGCTATAGAGCATGTGCACTCGCCAGACAGACAGAGAGAGACAGAAAGCAAGAAATCATCCCCCAGGGGGGATGGCCACGCTGCAATCCCTTCTCCTCCATTCTCCTCTCGGGATCTTGGGCACATCACATACTTTTTTAAAAGACCTTAAACTTTCCCATTTAAACAGCTAGATGTAACCCAGTGGGTTATCACATTGGTGAGAGAGTCCTTCTCCTTTACACTGGACTCAAGTATAAAATACAGGTCATGATAATGTAAAGAAAAATAAGAATATAAACTTGTAATTTCCAGTGAATAAATGTTAGTGACAAGATATGTTTTATCCCTTTCTTCAGTTTATAATAATTTTTATCTTTTTGTTTATTTGCCTGTTTTTGTTTTTGCTGTATGGCATGTGTGCTTGCTAGACTGACAGAGACAGAGAGAGAAAAATCACCCCCCTAGGTAAGATAACCATGCTACAGTCCTTTCTCTTCCATTCTCCTTTTGAGATATTGGGCACACAAAAACATGTGCCCTGTATATTTTCCAAGTTGCCAGACCTGGGACTCAAACTACACACTCAGCTATGTAGAATCCAATTGTTTTAACTACCATGCCACCTGGTCTGCCCATTTTTTATGTTAACTGTGGTAAAATATACATAAACAAAATGTACCATTTTAATCATTGTTAGTGCCCAGTGATGTTAAATATATTCACATGGTCACGCAGCCATCACCATTATCCATCCATCTGCAGAACTTTTTCATCACCTCAAACAGAAACTGTATTCACTAAATAGTAACTTGTATTTCAGGATTTTTTTTTAAAGAAGAATTTCTGATTTCTTCAAATGATGTAGTTATTACATTTATAGCTGCAGATTATGACTTTGCAGGAAAAGGAGCCTCTGCTAAAGCTTTATGTGAATGAATAAGGATATTCAATAGTCTCTTTATTTCTCAATCTCATAAAATTGACCTCATTTATTTTTACTGCTAAAATCAAATGTGTGCATATTAAAATATTAACTGTCACAGAATGAAAGTATTTATTGGTAATTTTGTAAATATACCAACTGAATATGGTCTTTTAAATATTTTCCCAAGCTCTAATAGGAAAAATAGTTTTCAAATTTTTAAGTTATAGCTCTTTCCATTCTGAATGTTTCAGATCTACCAGATAAAAAGCTTTATGTGGTCTCTGTGTTCGGTTTAATCTGTAGCTTAAAATTAAAGTATAACCATTTCATTTACCATAAAAAAGTAACTCTAATTTATGGGTATGTTCAATGCAAAAATATATATATATATATCGGTATTATAATTTCCATGTGGGCAAGTCTTCTAAGGCTTCATAGATGATTATCTGCAAGAAATGTCAAAGATAAGGCCAAGGTTTTGTTGTGCCAATATGCAGAATGTAAAATAAGCACTGGGACCAGCCACTAGCATAATGGTTATGTCACTGGACTCCCATGTAGTTGACCGCGGTTTGAGTTCCGGACCCAGTGGCTTAAACTCATGCCTGGACCATGTATGTGTGTCCCCAAGATCCCAAGAGGAGAATGGAGAAGAGATTGCGTGGCCATCCCCACAGAGGGTGATTTCTCACTTTCTGTCTCTCTGTCTCTCTCTGTCTTTCTGGCAAACGCACATGCCCTATAGCAAAAAACTCTCCAAAACAAATAAATAAATAAATAAATAAAATAAGCATTTGCAGAAAGCATACTTTTTTTTTTTTGGAGAGGTTTTTTTCGCTATAGGGCACGTGCGCTCGCCAGACAGACAGAGACATAGAGACAGAAAGCGAGAAATCAACCCCCAGGGGGGATGGTTACACCGCAATCCCTTCTCCTCCATTCTCCCCTCAGGATCTTGGGCACACACGCACACGCGCCCGGCGTGAGATTTAAGCCACCGGGTCCGAGACGCAAACCGCGGTCGACTACGTGGGAGTCCAGTGACATAGCCATTACGCTAACTGCTGGTTCCCTAGAAAGCATACATTTTTAAGAGAAGATATATTTTTCTGCATTACAAAGCCTGGCCTCAAATGATTTTTTTTTCTGTCATTGAGAAAATTTTTAATTTTTTTCTGACTTTTCTTATTATAGCTCAGATTTATCAACCATGACATTGTTCACTCTTGCTGTTAATTGCCTCAATATAATCTGAGCAAGTTTATGTTTCCTCTATAATGCACATTGCCAGTAATAAAGAGAAAGTTGCCTGTCAGTATGCTTATCCTTTCTAAATATAGAGAAGGGAGGTAAAGTGGCGTGTTAATGGAACTGGAATGCTTAGAATTTTGGTGCACTGGCGCAGGTGGGCTGGTTACCTGCTGTCATGCTCTATACCCTACTGCCAGTTTACAGCCATCGCCACTTACTCTGTACATTGGTTAGAACTGCATCATTGATAATAACTCTCACTGTAATTTTTGTTGTCAAAAGATCTCTGAAGTAAATAATCTTTATCTAAGAAGTAAAACTCTTCTGGAAACTGCTTGTGAAAAATAATTTTTAGCTAGGCAATTAAAGTTCTTTTCCTACTAAATCTCATGCTGGATCTACATAGTGTAAAAGAGGCAACACTTTGTTGACCTCTTCAAAATGAGCAGTTCTTTGGAACGTCAATAAATTCACACATGTTATCTATAAGAGAACATCAAGAGATTGGCAAACCTGGGACAAATATTAACATTCAGCAAACAGAAAGAAATGGAGAAAATGACTTCAAGTAAATAAGAACAAAAATATTAGAGTCCAGGCGTGATGGCATAGGTAATAAGGTACTGCTGCATGGTGCTGGAGCCATGTAAGTGCCCAGGATCCCAGGCCTGAACACACCAGGCTTATCAAAGCACACTGTGATTCTGACTGGCTAGAAGGATTGGGCAGGAGGATCATGGTGTGGTGAGACCCTGTCAAGGATACCTGTCTCTCTTCTCTCTCTCTTTCTCTCTCTCCTTTCTCTGTCAAGAAATGAATAAAAAGCCAACTCTATTATAAAGTTGTAAGCATTGCTCAAGAGAAGCCAGATGCCACTTGGTGACTTACTTTGAATTCCCGAGAGGGGTCAGCCTGAAACATGTCGGGAGCGTGTGTGAGTGCCCAAGATCCAATAGGCTAGAGGACTGCAGGAAGGGGATTGCAGCATGACAAAACTCTGCAGAGGGCGTTCATCTCTTTCTCTTTCTCTCACACATGTGTGTGTTTGGGCTCTATCATGAATGTTAAAAAAAGAAAATAAACTTAAAAAAATAGAAAACTTGAGTTGTTGTAAGCCTATGTATAATATATTAGACAATTACCTGCCTAAGGACCAATGGGATGTTCTAATACTATAATTCTAATTAAAAATTTAAAAATAATTAAAAATAGAGCCAACCTCATAGCCTAGTGGTTAAGGGAAGCCTGATACCACACAGCTGACCATGGTTGGAGTCCCATCCCCAGAGGTTTAGAAAATACACTGGGTGGATGTGTGTGCATGTCCCAAATTTTTACAAGTTGGAGAGACAGAAGAAAAGGAATTGTAAAATAATCATGTCCCCATTATGGAGTGCTTTCTCACACTCAGTCTGTCTCTTTTTTGGTGAGTGTATGCAGCCTCTGGGAATTTAAAAAAAAAAGTAAAAGCAATTTATAAGTACTTGAATTGGGAATATTAAAAATCACATTGTATACCTACTTAAAAGATTTCTTATCTATTGAGAGTCACTCAGAAAACATTGTGAAGATTATGAATAGTTTGAAGTGTTTTGGTAACTTTGATGTATTACATTGAATAATAGTTTTCTTGTTTTAAGAAAATCACCTTTTTATTTTTCTCTGCAGCTCAAAGAGTCATTCAAAGATATTAAAAAAAAATTCAACAATTTGAAATTTAATTATACTAAGAAAAATGAAAAAGCTCGGAACCTGAAGGCTCTTAAATATCAAATTCAACAAGTTGATATGTATGCAGAAAAAATGCAGGTAATGAGAAACATGCAGCAAGAGTGCGTGTGTGTACGTGTGTGTGTGTGTGTGTGTGTGTGTGTGCCTTTGCAACTATTGCAAAATCATTTTGCATTTCAATTCTAGATATGTAACTAGTGGGGTTTTTTAATAGCAGTGGGTTTGAAAGGAACTATTATTTTGTAATTTGGGTTCTTTGTGTAAAATTTGTAACAAATTGATTTATATCTTGAGCTCCCAAATGATTTTTACCAAACTTACTCAACCTTCCTAGTTCTATTTCCCCTTCCCTGACACACACACAAACATACATGATGCACACGCACACAGTTTACACCCCTCTTCCTCTACTTACTAGCCTCTCATGCCTACCTGTATTATCACATTATGCAATTGTCTTTGCCAGGGAGAGTGAGTTTATTAAGGAAAATGCTTTATTTTATGATCTTTTTCATTGAAAAAAAGGGTCATATTATTCTGAGAGTCAGGAATAGACTCTTCTAGATAGTAAACTATATATATTTTTTTTCTGAAAGCTAAACCAATAAACTAACTGTATGAAAACCCATTCTTTCTAAAACATATTCGTAAAAATTATGATTTTTAACATATAGCAGAAGCTACAAAAGGTTTTTTTCATAACTAAATTGCTATCAGTTTGAAGAATCACTATCATTAAATAAAAATTGAATAGTAAAAACTATTTTTTGTACAGGCTTTGAAAAGGAAAATGGAAAAAATTGATAATAAAACTTCTGATACTTTCTTAAATTATCCAAGAAATAAGCTTAAAGTCCTTTTGGAAGCTGTAAAGGATTTGCAAAAACACGTGGATGACTTTGACAAAGTTGTGACGGATTACAAGAAGAATTTGAACCTGACTGAGCATCTCCAAGAAATGATAGAAGAGGTGCCTTTCTCTTGCTATAATGTTTTCACATTTTATTTTGCTACCGTGAAACAATGCTGCATTAGCTATTGTCACTAAATCTAGATTTTATGCTCCTCTTTATGATAATTTCCCTTGGATAATGTCCAAAAGTAGTATTGGTGGGCCCAAGGGGATGAGTGTTATTAGTTTTGTTTGTTTGTTTGTTTTTGTTGGTGTTATCTTCTTTTTGTTACAAGGTTTTTGATTGTACTGTACTATTGCTCTTTAGAAAAGTTTGACTACTTTATTCCTACCAGAAATGTATGAGAGTTTTCATTTCCCCCTAACATCATCAACTCAAGAAGTTAGGTTACCATGAAATTATATTCACTGCTAAATGCCTGTTTAAAATACTCAAAAAGGCTTATTTATTTCATAGGATTTGAAAACATTCAGGTAAAAATGTAATACCGTGAGTTTTTCAGTATTACATTATTGGTGTTGTTTTTGTTATTGTCAAAAAGAAAAATAGTAGAGTACACATAAAATATACAAATGTGACAGGTTAAGTTATTACGTGTGCACTTCGTATGGAAGAAACACTACGCTAGAAATTCTTGAGTGTTCTTTGTCACCCACTATTCTGAGACACCAAGCATCTTTCTTTACCATTAATGCAGCTGACATGTTAGATTTAACAGCACATTAAGGAGATCAGGCATATCATTCTTCTACATCTGGTATATAGGTTTGCTGTAGCTCCCTGGCACTTATTTAAAACCCTTTCCTAAGAGTCATGTGTTTCTATTTCTCACCCAGCAGAGGCACTTCTGGCCTGGGTCAGACATTCCTTCCATAACAGTTCTTTATTTTTAGTGAGAAACTGCTTCAATTCTCCATTGTGCTTTAAAAATATAACTAACTTCTATTATAAAAAGATGAAATGCTATTCTTTGGATGAAATTTCCTACATCCATAAACTTAATCTCATTCATAAAAGAAAATGTATACATTAGAGTATTAATAGGGCAATATTTTACCCACACATTGTTAATGATATCAGTCCATTATGTTGAGTTTTAGTGTTTTGCTTTTTTATTTCCGTTTAGTTGATATTCAGATTGCTGTGAATGCCAAATGCTTCATATGCTGTTCATTTTTGTAAGTCTGTGGCAATCCTATTAGGAATGATATTATAGGCAAATGTAAGAAAGCAAGAGATTCAAACATATTTCCATACATTTAGTTTCTAAAATTTATTTACATATTATTTCCAAATGCATACTTTCTTATTTGTGCCTTTAATATCCAAGTGTAAAGTACATGATCATATTTCAATATTTTCTTAATTATGACTTAGAAAGTTCAAATCAATATGAACATCAAGTTTGATGACATTAAAATTTAATGCTTCACTAGTCAAAATTAAGAACTTTAGGATGGCATGTCTGTAATCTGTGCTTTATCCCATTTTAATTTAGTGTCACTTTTGGTATGAAGATGCGATTGCCACAGTTGTAAGAGTTGGAAAATATTCCACAGAGTGCAAGACAAAGGAAGCTGTGGCAATTCTTCACCAACAGTTCAATAAGTTTATCACACCCTCAGTGCCTCAGCAAGAAGAAAGGATTCAGGAGGTCACTGACCTTGCTCAGCGCTTATATGGTAAGGTCTCATTTAAGATAGCCGGTGATTTGCCATTGAACGGATCTATATTGAACCTAATTCCAACAGGAAGTGAGAATAGGACAAGCCCTTCAGGGTTCTCACTGCCTCTACTATTCAGGGAAAAGACTCAAGATAAGAGCCCACAACCAGCAAAGGTAAACAGAGGGGAGAGCTTCTGGCAGCAGGAGATAAACCTGCTGATTTTTAGCTACCTTATGTAAGCCCTCCTTCCTTATTCTCCTTTCCTTCTCATTCCCGTTATTCATTTCCAGGGTAACAGAAAAAGACTCAGTTTATATAGACACCCCCCCCAAAAAAAAAAATCTCATTTCCACTAGAGTTATTCCTTGAAAGGCATACAAAACTCTACAGGAATATCTATGAGATAAGTTATGGTTAGCAGATTTGAGAAAGAGCTGGAAGAGTGTCACTCATCTTTCTCTCCCTCATTGAGTAAATGGGAGAACTTCAAATTATCATCTCACAAATTCTGTTTTCCTCTCCTCCATGACTAGGAAAGATACCATTAAGTCCTTCTGCTTACAAGAGACCCCAATTTGAGAAGCCCCTGCATGATGACAGTCTTTGAAGGCTCTGAGAAATAAGTCCCATAAGTTCTCTGTGTCATTCTTATAAGGCCAAGAATAATTTCTAGTGACCAGACCAATGCAGCTTAGAAAAAAAGAAATGTTTCCTTTAGCTGCCCAGAGCTGCCACCAGATTCTCTATGACTGCACTTTTTCATATATATCTTTTGACCATAAGCTTCTTGAAGGTGAGGAGAACTTATTTATTTATTTTAGTTTTTGCTATAGGGTCATGTACCTGCTGGAAAGAGACAGCAAGAGGGAGAGAGAGAGAAATAACCCTCCAGGAGAATGACCACAACACAATCCCTTCTCCTACACTCTCCTCTCAGGATTTTGGGCAAGCATGCACACATGCTCTATGTGTTTTTCAAGCCACCAGATCTGAGACTCAGGCTGCAGCGACAACCATGTGAGGTCCAGTTGCCTGTATCTCCATGCTTCCTGCTGGCCCCAGAGATCATTTTGTACCACTCTATTCCAGTGCCTCTTCAATTCCAAGGCAAGAGAAAGACAAAGACCTCACAAAAGTTATATTCTTTTTCCATCATGTAAAACCCCACATCCTGCTTTGTTCATATTTCTAGCCCTTCTCTCCAACTGACATATAAGCATCAGGCTTTCCTTACCAGAGTGTAAGTTCTATGAGGGAAAGGATTTTTGCTTGTTCATTTACTGCTTCATGACTCATACTAACTGCTTGACAAATACGTGATGAGTAAATGAATCATTGACAGAATACTGAGAGTGAATACATGAGGGGCATGAGCCACCATCTGTTCAGTATGGTAACAATACACCTTAGAGTGTGTGCATCTTTGGAGAGAGTCAGAGTGTGAGTGAGAGGAAAAGTGAGAAATCACCCCCTTCTCCAAAGATGGATGCAGCAATCCCTTCTTTATTCTCCTCTTGGGATTTTGAGCATGCACACACACATGCTCAGCATGATTTTCAAACCTCCAGGTCTGGGACTCAAACCATGGTTGGCCATATCAGAGTCCAGTGCCTTACTCACTATAACACCTCTGGCCCAGGTAGCTATACACTTTTAAAATTTATATCCCTTGAGATATCTAGGAAGGTCATGTGAAGTCTTACAAATTACTCACATATTATCAAATTTAAACGCAAATAATGTTCTCTCAAAAAAACCTTGCACACCTATTATGTGCTAAGTGCTGTGGTTAGCATAAAGGCAAGTAAGGCCTAGTTCCTGTAAGCAGAAAACCATGGTCTCAAACTGGAGGTTATGATACACTAAGTGCAAGGAGAAAGCTGTAAAATGGGTATGTTTGCTACAGTTGTGATAACAAAATATCACAGACTGGGTGGCTTAAGCAACAGAAATTAATTTTCTCACATTTATGGAGGCTAGGAGTTCAAGATCAAGTTTTGGCAGAGTAGATTCTCCTGAGGCCCCTCTCTTGGCATGCAGATGACTACCCTCTTACTGCTTCTTCACATGATTGTCCTTCTCTGCATTGCAAACTCCTAGTGTCTCTTCTTTGGAAGGGCAACAGCCATGTTGGATTGGGGCTCCACTTCAATGCCTCCCTTTAACTTAATCACCTCTTTAAAGACCTTATTTCCAAATGCAGTTACATTCAGAGTATGGTGGAGTGAGATTTCAACATACAAATTGAGGAAGGGGGAGGGCATACAATTCAATCCACAGCAATGTGCAGCAAAGCCTGACCTAGGTGGTCAAACTACACAGACCTGGATTACTGCCTTGTTCTTCCACATATTGTCTGGGTCATCTGAACAGTTTCTTTTGAGCTTCAGGTTCCTCATTCGTGAAATAGGGATTATAGCAGATAATGTACATAAAAGTGCTTAGTCAGAGTCAAATACTAATAATAAGCAGTCACCATGTGGCAACTCTTGTTATTATTATTCCTATAGGGGAAAATCCAGTTGGGAAATATCAAGAACATTTTCACAGATGTTGGCATTTGAGGTGGACCTTGAAGAGTCAGTAGGATTTTGATGGCAGAAGTAGGAAGTGAGGGAATAGTATTTCTGGTGTGGAACAGAATACTTAGTAAATGTGGGAATTCTGAAGAAAGAATTGTGGATTCAGTTTGGCTAGAGATGAAATCCATGGGGAATTACAGAGACACACATTTGGGAGAGGCAAGTTGAAGCTACTATGGAGGGCCTTGAACAGTACCCCAAAGAATGTATTCATTATTGTGCATTGAAGAACCACTGACTATTCTAAACAGGAGAAATTGACTAGAACTGAGCTTTAAAATATTAATGTAACAACATTATGTGAGTTACATAAAAGTAACACAAATTCATTTTTCTAGAATACCTGGCTTTTCAAAAAAAGCTTTTATTCGTATATTTACCTGTTCGACATGTATTTATTAATAATGTACTATCTATGTGTACTTATTCCAGATAGACACTTAACATTTGGGCCTATTTTTTCCTTCTTCTTTTCTCCAGGTTTAGAGGAAGGGCAGAAATACACTGAGAAAATAGTGGCAAAACACAAAGAGGTTCTTGAATCCATTACTGAATTATGTGGGTCTCTCACAGAACTTGAAGACAAACTGGAGGTAATTTCTTTTTCCCAGGATATGTATTTTCAAGTGATATAAATAAAAATGTGTTGATCAAATGTCTTCTGGTGCAAAGATGTTCTAATAGAAATTCTCAAGGGACATAATGTGCACATTTGTTCACAGCTTTATAACATAATTATCTGGGTGTTTCTGATAATTAATTCTGTTTCTTTTCCATCACTGCAGAGAAAAATATTGCTGGAAATGAGAGCTAAACATAATTAAGTTGTCTCATTCACATTTCCATGGATCATATCTTAAAGGATGTGTGCCGTTAAAACCAAAAGAAAGACTGTATGGGGAACCAGCAGTTAGCGTAATGGCTATGTCGCTGGACTCCCACGTAGTCGACTGCGGTTCGTGTCCCGGACCCGGTGGCTTAAAACTCACGCCGGGCACTTGTGCGTGCATGTCCAAGATCCCGAGAGGAGAAGGGAGGAGAAGGGATTGTGGCGTGGCCATCCCCCCTGGGGGGCGATTTCTCGCTTTCTGTTTCTCTGTTTCTCGCTGTCTGGCGAAAGCATGCGCCCTATAGCGAAAACTTCTCAAAAAAAAAAAAAAAAAGAAAGAAAGAAAGAAAGACTGTATTAAGTAGCTTTATATTTTTGTTCATAAGTAATACATGCAAGATCTTTTTTCTTTCTACGTATCTGGTGTCACCAAATTATGGCACCAGAAGATATAATACTAATCCTCAGGTATTATATTCATTGAACATTTAATCTCACAGAAATATTAATCTACTAATTTTCACCTTTAATATAGTAGAAATTTGATGATAAAACTATAAAGAAAATGTTCATGTCTATGTCATGGTAAAAAACAGTTAAACAAGAAATTCATAATTTTTTGTCTATATCAATTTAAAAAATAGTTTGATTAATGCTGTTTTTACAACTGGCTTGAATAACTAGCTATTGATTTCTCAAAAAAGTTATGACACATTTTTGCATAGAAAAAATACATCATGACCTTTCCAACAACACAATATTTAATCTCCCTTAGTTCCAGTTTCTTAAACTATAAAATGGATCATAAGGTAGCCCTGTGGACTGAATGTGAAGATACCCAAGATTATTTTGTGATCATTGTTGTTGTTGAGGCATAGTGGTAATTTTGCAGTTACAAGCAGATTATATATATTTATAAAAATACTTTTTTCTGTATGAATTTCATGTCAAGTCTGAGTGCCTATTCCATTCAAATATTTTGCAATGCTTTCAATTCAGTGGGTGCCTAACCAAATTATCTTTTATCCTGAAGCAAAAATTAACATTTTAAACTTTTTATCACTTTAAATAGCACTACAATTAATCTTTGTGTATAGCATAAATTATCCAAAGCAGATTTGAGGAAATGGGTATAAAATTGTTAATACATATGTTAAATCGCTTTCTGTATTTTGCAATTATAATGCACCATTAATGTATGAATGAACCATACAACTTATATTACATTTTATAGAATTTGTTATTTCTTCCCCACCTCTACCTCACCCCTGAAGATCTATTGCCTCTCTTTTTTTTTCACTTAAAAAAAGTTTTTACACTTAATCACTGTACATCTTTAAAGCATACCAAATTAATTTTCTCTCCATGAATATATTGCATATTAGTCCAGTCAAATATATTACCAAATACATTATCATAAAGATATAATTTTCTATTTTTATGTCTGTTAAATGTTTTACTTTTTTCCCCCTTGATTTCATCCCTCCAACCCTCCACTACTGCCCTCTCCTCCTCCCACACTGTCTCTAGTATCCATAGATGCTCTCCATGCTTTTATGCTTTCCAACTTTTCAGTTTCTGTCATGGAGTAGATATTTGGTATATATTAAGTGGGGGCATACAATGCTTCTTTTTCATAGTCTGGTTAGCTTTGCTTAGTAGTAAATCTTCCATATTCATCCACTTTCTAGCAATTGTCAGGGTCTCATTGTTTTTCTTTGGCTGAGTACTATTTCATAGTGTATATGTGCCACATTTTTTCAATCTATTCATCTATTATTGGACATTTGGATTGTTTTAGCAATTTTAAATAATGCTGCTTCTCTTGTCTTCTGATAAACAAGCTAAAAATCACTGCTTCCTCTGACTTGAGGGTATCCATCATTTACTACTTTTCTTCTTTGTGTATTGTGGTTCTTCAAGTAAACACAGTAAAATCTACTCTCTTTATGCTATATTCCTTTTCAGCTTTCACCTTCATGGCTATACTTCCTGAAAGAGCTATTTTCACAGCCTTTCCCTGCTTTCTTATTTCCCATACTTTCCCCTTTTCTTATCTCAACCCCATTACTGGGATGCCCTGTTTTCTAGTCAGGAGTCCTCTAATATAATATATAATAAATAATATATCCAACTAATTAACCCTTTCTAAATGCAATTATGTAATGTCATTTTCACACTCAAAATACTTCACTACAATCTCCTCATACCCAGTAAAGTTCAGAGTCAAGGCTTTCCAATGTTCTGACATCAATTGACTTTCCAAATCACTGTGTTTCTACATACGTTGTAAGTTCCCAACCCAATCTCCACTGTCTTCCCTGTTCTAAATCTTTACTTCAAGTATATGACCTTCTGACTGTTTATTTAAATTCAGACATCTTTCAAAATAAAACCCCAGTATTGCATCCTCCACAGATCCTTCCTTAACTGTATCACTTGCTCTCTGTTCTCCAATAGTACTTGTGTTCTTTCCTGCCTATCTGTCCATGTGAACTGCTATGCCAAATACAACAGAGTCGATAACTTATAAACAACAGAAAATTATTTTTCAAGGCTTGTTTATTTAATTTTATTTATCGTCATTATTATTATTCTTTTAAATTTTCTGTAGGGCACTTGTGCTCCCCAGGGAGAGAGAGAAGGAGGAAAAGTGAGAAAGCAAGCCACCAGGTCTGAGACTTGAATAGTAGTTGATCATGTGAGAGTCCAGCACCTTAACTACCACACCATCTCCTGGCCCCCAGAAAATTATTTTTCACAGCTCTGAGGTTGAGAAGTCCAAGATCAAGGCACAGGCAGATATAATGTCTGATGAGGGTTCACTTCCTCATAGACAGCTGTCTTCTTACTCTAACTTCACATGGTGGAAAGGTAAGAGGTCTCTCTCTGGCCTCTTGTATAAAGGCACTAATCTCATTCACAACTCTCTTTTTTTTTCACTTAAAAAAAGTTTTTACACTTAATCACTGTACATCTTTAAAGCATACCAAATTAATTTTCTCTCCATGAATATATTGCATATTAGTCCAGTCAAATATATTACCAAATACATTATCATAAAGATATAATTTTCTATTTTTATGTCTGTTAAATGTTTTACTTTTTTCCCCCTTGATTTCATCCCTCCAACCCTCCACTACTGCCCTCTCCTCCTCCCACACTGTCTCTAGTATCCATAGATGCTCTCCATGCTTTTATGCTTTCCAACTTTTCAGTTTCTGTCATGGAGTAGATATTTGGTATATATTAAGTGGGGGCATACAATGCTTCTTTTTCATAGTCTGGTTAGCTTTGCTTAGTAGTAAATCTTCCATATTCATCCACTTTCTAGCAATTGTCAGGGTCTCATTGTTTTTCTTTGGCTGAGTACTATTTCATAGTGTATATGTGCCACATTTTTTCAATCTATTCATCTATTATTGGACATTTGGATTGTTTTAGCAATTTTAAATAATGCTGCTTCTCTTGTCTTCTGATAAACAAGCTAAAAATCACTGCTTCCTCTGACTTGAGGGTATCCATCATTTACTACTTTTCTTCTTTGTGTATTGTGGTTCTTCAAGTAAACACAGTAAAATCTACTCTCTTTATGCTATATTCCTTTTCAGCTTTCACCTTCATGGCTATACTTCCTGAAAGAGCTATTTTCACAGCCTTTCCCTGCTTTCTTATTTCCCATACTTTCCCCTTTTCTTATCTCAACCCCATTACTGGGATGCCCTGTTTTCTAGTCAGGAGTCCTCTAATATAATATATAATAAATAATATATCCAACTAATTAACCCTTTCTAAATGCAATTATGTAATGTCATTTTCACACTCAAAATACTTCACTACAATCTCCTCATACCCAGTAAAGTTCAGAGTCAAGGCTTTCCAATGTTCTGACATCAATTGACTTTCCAAATCACTGTGTTTCTACATACGTTGTAAGTTCCCAACCCAATCTCCACTGTCTTCCCTGTTCTAAATCTTTACTTCAAGTATATGACCTTCTGACTGTTTATTTAAATTCAGACATCTTTCAAAATAAAACCCCAGTATTGCATCCTCCACAGATCCTTCCTTAACTGTATCACTTGCTCTCTGTTCTCCAATAGTACTTGTGTTCTTTCCTGCCTATCTGTCCATGTGAACTGCTATGCCAAATACAACAGAGTCGATAACTTATAAACAACAGAAAATTATTTTTCAAGGCTTGTTTATTTAATTTTATTTATCGTCATTATTATTATTCTTTTAAATTTTCTGTAGGGCACTTGTGCTCCCCAGGGAGAGAGAGAAGGAGGAAAAGTGAGAAAGCAAGCCACCAGGTCTGAGACTTGAATAGTAGTTGATCATGTGAGAGTCCAGCACCTTAACTACCACACCATCTCCTGGCCCCCAGAAAATTATTTTTCACAGCTCTGAGGTTGAGAAGTCCAAGATCAAGGCACAGGCAGATATAATGTCTGATGAGGGTTCACTTCCTCATAGACAGCTGTCTTCTTACTCTAACTTCACATGGTGGAAAGGTAAGAGGTCTCTCTCTGGCCTCTTGTATAAAGGCACTAATCTCATTCACAAAGGCTCCATTAAAGTCCTAATTACCTCCCCAACACCCTACCTCCTGGTACTATCTCTTTGGGGGTGCAGATTTCAACATATGAATTTCTGAGGGGCAAAAACTTTCAGACCATAGCACTACCATAATTACTAAATATAATTACTCTTATCACAGTCACCATACTTTATTTACTTAAGAAAAAAAACTCTCCGACTCTCCTCAGACAGTGTCTTACACAACTTTTAACAGCATGCTTTACCTTTTAAAGCAGCTCTGTAGAAAGGATTTTGGCATTTGGAGTAAAGGCCCAAAGGATTAGTAGAGAGAAGAATCGTGAAGTAGCCTGAGAGGTTTATTTGGGTGGATATAGAAATGAGGAAAAACCTCTCTGGCAAGAAAAATAGGCATCAGCATTCTTCTCGTGAGCTACAGCAACAAAGAGCTTGTCAAAGAAGGCTTGCTAATACTTGACAGATGTTTGTATGAAAAGCATAACATACTTCTTGTTTACAAGACTTCTATTAAAAAGTGGGTCCAGCGATCCCTGTTGAGGTTGAAATACTGATAAAAATTATTTCTAATGTATATCAATTTGAGATTTATGAAGGACTTTTACTAATAAAAATTACTTCTAATGAATATTAATTTGAGATTTACAGAACAATTTTATATATATTATCTCCAGTGAGTTCCAAATAACACTGAGATGTTTTACCTCTTTGTTTTAGAGGTAAAAAAGGGACAAATACAAAGAAGATAAAAGTGCTTGATGTGGAGCCAAACAGTCAATAGTGGTGGATCTGGAATTTGAACTTGAACGCAATTCAAAATCTAGCATTCTTTCCACAACAGCTGCCATTTTGAAATTAGATATCAAGTGTGTACTGAAGCAGAATGACTCATACAGTAATACATACCAGTTCAATTTTAGAGTTGAGACTAAAAGCTGAGCCTCTGCCTGAGTGTGTCTCCTAGAATCTTCCAAGCCAGTATAACATGCATATTTTGGTGAACATGCCTATTTCTTTACAGTTCATTCTCTATTCCAAGTGGAATAGAGAATCTTCTGTTGCAGAATAATCAGTGTGCTAAACATACGTTCTGTCACTTAGAGTATCAGTGACTCCTTTCACCTTCACGGTTTTCTCTGCCATCACACTGGTTCCTCAGCAGTTTGCAAACATTTATCACTAAAACTAAGTTCCACAAAATGCAGCAATAAAAATTATCACCTACAAGAAGCATCCCATGTTCTCAGTGTTTTTTTTTTTTTCCTTTACTATACTCAATAATATTTCCTTCCTTTTCCCAAGAGTCTCTCAAACATTTTACTTCTAGATTTTCTGGATTTCCTACTCTCTTCTACACCAAAGATATTTAATCATTTCTACCTTGTCACTGCTCCCCAGACTCTCCTAATGGTTTAAACTGCCATGTATAATAATCCCTTTCTCTAGAGAACGCCCCTGCAGGAACATCCTACTGTAACAATTACTTTTTTCCTGCTGGGCATTTGAATAACTGATCTTTTTTTCCTGGCAATGAACTTTATCACAGGAGTGAGGCAGGAGGAAAACTGTGAGCCAGGAGGGGTAATTTTATAAATCACACCATGGGAGTACATTAGTCTCTGTGGAATACATTTGCTGAAAGGTTGCAAGTGGCCTATGTTTTCTTCCAAGTAGCTGGTGTATGGCACTGTTCCTCTAACTTTCCTGGCCCAGGCTTACTCACCATTGCTTTGTACAGCAGGGAGACATTGTGAAGATGAATCCAAATTTGGAGGACTTCCATGATGATTGCATTGACCTACTAAAGGAACCAACGAGAAATAAAGAGCCAATGCTCAATGAGGAAAAAAATAAGGTAAAAATCTTAGCTTCAGCTACTCATTACTTTTGGTTTGATGTTTTCCAGAGTCAATATGAATTGCAAGGTAAAAGTGACTTGAAGCCTTCAGACTTATCCAAATAGAATCTCTCAATGTTGGAGCCAGTAGGTGGCATGGTGGTTAAGCACTGGACTTCCATATGGCCAACCATGGTTTAAGTCCCAGGCCTATTAGCTTGCTTTCTCACTTACCCTCTTTCTGTGTCTCACTCTGGTGAGCACATATGCTCTATAGCAAACTTAAAAATAATTATAATACTGGTATCAGCAGAAGGCATAATGGTTATATCACTAGACATTCACGTGAACAACCATGGTTTGAATCCTGAGCCCAGTGGCTTCAAACTCATGCCAGGCATATGTGTGTACATGTCCAAACTTTTCAGAGGAGAATGGAGAAGAAGGGATTGTGGCATGGCCTTCCCCTTTAGGTGGGGGGCGATTTCTCACTTTCTCTCTATCTTTCTCTGTCTTTCTGATAAGTGCACATGCCCTATAACAAAAAAACTCCTTAAAAATTAATAGTAAGTAATAAAATAAATAATTTTTTAAAATAAAAAATCTCTCAATGTAAATGCAATGTGAATTCCTCACTCCTTACTTTCTACTTCTTGCTTCATCCTTATTTCCTCTCCCAGGCTATGTCTTCTGAGTTCCTCTTTCTTAAATACTGGAATCATGACAATTCATATTGGCCTTGAGACAGCCATTTAAATCCACTGCATTGCCTCAAACCAATTTTATTTTTTCTGTCTCTAGTTGCCTTTCTGATTTTCATTTTATATTTAAAATCCAACTTCAATTTTTACTTCTCCCTCTTTACCACAACGCTAAGCCATGATTTTTATTATTTTGCACTAGCCATTGAAGAGTCTTAGTACATGAAACTAGATCATATCTTATTCTCATAGACTCGACCTCTAAGATGGCATTCCCAGGTGTGTAAACCAAAACAAAGAATCCATCTAAAATACACACTTAGAGAAATTTTAAAATTACTTTAAAACCTATGCATTTATTGATCAATTAAAGCAGGTAACAAAAATCACAAATATCAAAAATGCAAAGGCATCATTACTTCAAAAGTAATTTAAACCACAACATGATGATCTTCTTGGCATAACTTGCTCAGTTTTTATTCATAGCTGCTAGACTATAAATATTTCTTGCCTTTTTGCTTTGCAAGTTGTCTGCTCCCAATATTTCTCTCCTGAGGAGCTAAAGGAATCAGCATAGTCAATGTTATTCTCAACTATCCCAAAATTAATAAATTATACTTCTTGTGACATGAAGGTTCAAAATAAACAAAACGAAAATCCTCCCCGTTTGCTAAAATTATTTTGTGGAAAGAGATTTATCTTTTTTAAAACTCAATACAGTTCGCTTGAAGTCATGATACTTTGTATATAGGAAGGCATATAGGTCCTTTTCCACAGGCTAAATCTATATCAAGGTTCAGTGCCATTATGCAATCGTGAGGCAGCAAGGACCATTAAGAAAGCTGTCTGAGTGTGAGTGTGGTAATGGGTAATGTTCTCTGCATTTTGTTTGTTTTTTTAGGTTTTTGTCCACAGGGCACATGCGCTTGCCACAGAGAGAAAGAGAGAAGGCAACTGAGAAATCACCCTCTAGGGGAGTTGACCATGCTGTAATCCCTTCTCCTCTATTCTCTCAGGGTTTTGGGCACACATATATGTGCACCCAGTGTGACTTTCAGGCTGCCAGGTCTGGAACTTGAACTGTGGTGGACCATGTAAGAATCCAGCCCCTTAACCACCACACCATCTACTGGCCCTGGTTTTGAGCCATTTAAACTCTGGCTCCTCTCTGGGCAAGCTAAAGCTGCCAAATCTTAGTTACCTTATTGAACCCTACGTAGTCTTATATCAAGTGGTCTTTTGTTAGTTCAATTGATCTAAACAAGGTTTCTCAACCATAGCATTATTGACATTCTAGCCAGAGAATTCTCTGTTTTAAGGGACTGTCCTGTACATCGTACGATGTTTAGCTGCATTCTTGGCTGTACCTACCAGAGGCCAATAGCAGCATTCCTGGACTTATCCCCATTGTGACCTAAATAAATAAATAAATAAATAAATAAATAATAATCTACAGATATGCCAAATGGCCCCCGAGGAGCAAAAGCACCCCAACTGAGAATGTAATAAAGAATAGTATTAAATGCACAATAGTTTTATATCTAAATTATTATAAGTTAGTAAATCTGATGTCATTTGATTTGTTTTATATAATTTTGTATATATTCCTATATTGTGAGACAGGCGTATTTACTAAGAACTCAGAAACCAGTGTTATTACTACCAAAGCAAACATAATAATTTATATTTTACAGAACTTTTTTTTGCTTTTTATTTATTTCTTTACTAGAGGAAGAAGATTTCTTTAAATAAAAAAGCAAGATTTACTTTCATTGAAAAATCCATTTTATTCTAATATAAGAAAACAGAATAAATCATCAGTCATTTGGGATATGAGTGAATGTCCACAATTATAGCTGTCAAGAATTCTCATTGGCATCATTTTATGTACATGTTTTGATGAAATTGGTACAGACAGGAAAATGAAAAGGTGGCAGTAATCTTTATTTTTAAGCAGCCCAGTTATATTCACCCTCTTATTGTCACTATTATTTATGTATAGGACAGATATAACAATTCCCCAAAACATCATATGGACTGATAACAACAAGTAAGAAGTAAAAAGCCTGCCTGGGGAATCATTGTATTTAATTCTGGTACCCTTAAATGGTATTCATCTTCCTCTGAAAACTATTTGAGTCAGAAGGAACAGTTCCCCCTAACTATTACAAAACTATTTTCATCACAGGAATTTTCTCCAGGAGATAGAAAAGTGCTTCTCATTTTTCTGACCCTAAATATAACAGATGAAATTAGGCAAGTCAAGTAAATGCAGTGCCTGTAGACCACTAACAGATTAGTGATGATGTTTTATCCCCAAGGCGTGCACCAAAGCTGAACCCACAGTAATACCTGAAAAATCCTAAGGTTAAACGGAGGCACGGAGTATTAAGAAACTTGCCTAAAGTCATGAACTATTTAGTGGCAGATGAGGACTTTTGATTCCAGCATTTAGTTATAGAATTGTAATGACAGAGGGATTTAAAAATCATCTGATCGAATCTCATTTTATAGCTGAGGAAACTGAGGCCAAAAAGATTAAGTGTCTTGCCTTCCAAAAATCACAAAAAGTACTATGGAATTGTAGGCAGACTGAGTCTCCTGAATTTCAACCATATGCCTTTTCTACAAGACTGAAAGGGTCCCCAGAACTGCTGTATGTAGATGGGCTGTTTTGTAATGATACTGCAGATATCCATGTTAAACCTGCCCCCACTTTCTAGTCACCTGTTTACACGGTGACCAATAAAGTAATCACGAGGAAGTTCTTTTATATGAAACAATTCCATGGAGTGATCCTAACAGACTAGGCTAAGATAGTTCCGGGGCTCTCCTGATCACTGGGCAGGCAGGAAAAGATGTTCTTGACACTTGCCTAGAAAAAAATTAGGAAAGAAACAAAGAGTTCTGCCTCACTACTGTTCTGTTCTTTTCTATTTTGCTTTGTCCACCCCAAGTGCCCAAATATCCCAAGTCACTCCTTGGCTGCCCAAAGGCCCCTCCATGCACCTTCTCCAGAAATGCCTTTCATGCACCCACCTCTATACTCAGTATCTTTTACTTTGTCTGCTTCTTACTTACCATCAAGTCTTATTTATCCTAAAGTGAGGCTGTGTGTTATGGAGATATTTTAGGAGTAAAATCTTAAGATGCTTCTTTCAATTTACCACATGTGTAGTTCCTCACTCTATGTACTATGAGGACTGGTTCTCCCCACTTAGTTGGGTGGACACAGAATACCATTGTATTACCTCTTCTCTACATTTCATCTTTCTCTGTGATGGTGATTGTAAATCCAAGTGATTTTATCCATCAGTGAAAATCAAAGTTCAGAAATCCTGGAAAAGATTAAGACTTGAGGCTATCTAATTAATTAAAAGCTGACTATTGATTATTAGATATGAAAGGGATATTTTTAGGCTAAAAGTATATAGAGAAGATTAAGAAATTTATAGACAAAGCTAGAGATATTTCATATACCTAGAAGATGTGAAAAGAAAAAGGACTCAATAAAAAAGACAACAAGCAGTCAAGGATAAGAGAAATTGAGAGCTATGTTATGTTCTGGAGAATTATATCAGTTCATGTAGATGCGCGTGCGTGTATATGTATACACCTGAAATCCGAAGAGAAAGGAAGAAAGGAGATGTGATTTCTCAATTTCTCTCTGTCTCTATCTAGTCAGCACACATTCCCTATGGCAAAACCCTAATAAATAAGTAAATAAATAAATAAATAAATAAATAAATGGAGAAATGTGAACTATATAAGAATTCAGTTGGGTTATAATTTTGCCCAAGACCATTACTAAGTTCATCAATGTCATCCTGGAAGATAGCCTCTCTTGGGGAGGTATTTAGCATTGTTCTAAACTCTGTAGTATTCAGCATTTATAGCAATGATATTAGTGAACAGAAGAAGCAGGAAATTTTAGTTGACTTTAAAAGTCAATATGGGGGGGACCAGCAGTTAGTGTAATGGCTATGTCGCTGGACTCCCATGTAGTCAACCACAGTTCACGTCCTGGACCCGGTGGCTTAAAACTCACGCCGGGCGCGTGTGCGTGCATGCCCAAGATCCCAAGAGGAGAATGGAGGAGAAGGGATTGCGGCGTGACCATCCCCCTGGGGGGCGATTTCTCGCTTTCTGTCTCTATGTCTCTGTCTGTCTGGCGAGCTCACGCGCCCTATAGAGAAAACCTCTCCAAAAAAAAAAAAAAAAAAGTCAATATGGGGATCAGCAGTTGGCATAATGGCTATGTCGCTGGACTCCCATGTAGTCAACCACAGTTAGAGTCCTGGATCCGGTGGCTTAAAC